GAAATCCCCGGGGAAGGTTATTTTGGTTGCACGCGATGACGCGCACATAGGTATCCATGGCGATGCATCCCCGCTCACAGAAACCCGGCAGAGGGCAACGGGCCGCTCGGACGACTACGACAACTTGACGGTGACTCAGCTTGTAGAATTTAGCACAGCGTGGTGTGAGGAGCTGGAACAGCGGTGACCTCATTCCACCGGCTGCTTCGCCCTGCCCGTTGTGAGGGGTCCGAAAGAATGAACAAGGAAAAAAGGGGGTCAGGGAAAAGAATGGCGGCACAAGAGAGGTGTCCTATATCGAGACAAACATCTCGCATAGTTATAAAAGGGATGGCGCGAGTGCGTGCGTGATTCTTTGTGTGTTCGTGGCTCGATCTGCATCTATAGTTGCGTCAAACACATGGTTAGTGGGACAAAAGAGTACAAAAGGTAATAAACGATCAGGAGATAATGAATAAAGGGGCTCATGTACAGTGTGCAGCATACATGTAATCCCTTTCAAAAAACAAATAGGCTGTTTTAGAAGGACTACATTGGAAACACAGGCCCCGATGTGGAAGTTCAGTGCAACAAAGAGCGATTACTGTCACACAAGTTAGGAAACCTGTGATCACGAAAGCAAAACTGAAGCAGAAAGTTCTTAGTTTTGTACCCACAGCTGTGTCTATTTGCACGTCTCCATCACGGCTCCACATGGAAAAGGCCTGACAGACATGATGGTGAGGCTTCAAAGAGATGGAGGGAGATACAGGATGGATGGTAACCAGCTACAGAAAATGTATAAACACAGTTGCAGCAGTAATCAGGAGGTTTAAAAAAAAAAAGAGTCATGGTACCACTAGTCAGAGCACTTTCTGTCAAGGTGGACCTATAATGTATTAAAAAACACAATTTAAATCTCAGTAATCATTTATTATTGCATTGTTGCATTGAGTTCCTACTGTGGGGCCTTAATATAATGAACCTAAACTTTAATTTTACTTAAAAGCAAATACTGTTTAACTGTAAGGTGTTAAAATGTTCAATAATTTACCATTTAGGTGAAAATGAACAGAGGTGTTCTTGTTTCTGTTGTGTACTAATTGTTCTAATCTCTACATGAGACTCCTGAAAAGGTTCTGAACCAAACTGAAAATCGATAGCTTGGTTCTGACCCGTCCAGGGTTCAGGGTCCCAGCTGTGCGGCGGTGAGAAAACACCCAGAGGGCATGTGATGACAGGGAGGCTACAGCACATCAGTCAGACACACAAACCCTGAAGCAGCCGTGGAGGTCCGCCAGACAGATCAGGGCTGAAGAACATCAGGACAAATAAACCAAACTGTGTCAGATACGCTATTTAAAGACGTTAATCACTGAAATGTGAAAGACCATTCAGGAGAAACAAAAGGGAGAAACTACTGCTGTTGTTTCGTGGTTTGACAGTGATGCTACACAGCAAAGGCAAAGCAAGAGCTGTCCAAACACCGATAGCGTCTGGTAAAGGTTCTGCTTATCACAGCGGTTCTTCTACATCACAGAGTCAAAAACAATTAGCCAGAGTGGGTCACCGTGCCGCGCCTTGTGGGTCATTAGTTTGTAATTACATTTCCAGAACTTACACCCAGCAGACTAGTGGAGGCTTCAACAAATCAAGTTGCACAACGCTCCACCAACATAACACCCTGTAACACTGTCTAACTTTTATCAGGGCGGATGCATTTTAATGGGCTCCAGTTCCACCATAAACTGCTGCAGGACTTGAGCATGCGACAGCTGTAGCCCGAGCCATGAGCCAGCCATGCAGTGTGTGTGCAGGATGGAAACATATCCACAGCGTCGGCGCAGCAGGCCCACATAATGACCACATGAAGAGTGATGTTGGTTGAACCTGTCCTCTCTCTGCCTCCTTGTTTCTCTTCTACTTTCCCAATAAATCCCTCTGTCACAGAGCATCGGCCCTGGCAGGCGAGCCTCTCACCACCCACACTATTAGGAGCTTAGAGATCGCACTCTGGCCACTTGCAGCGCATTACTCTTATCTGGAGCACAGAGAGAGGCTGTTGTGCCTCTCTGCTGCTGCAATATGTCGATTTACTGCAGAAACAAAATAGAGACAACGACAAAAAAACGTACACGTATCCATGAGAGCATTACATAATGATGCAGGTATTTTTTCAGTGAAGCTGATTAACAATGTGAGCTGCAGGTGGTTCGGTGGTTAGCATCGTTGCCTCGTAGCAAGAAGGTCGCTGGTTTGCATCCCGGTGAGGACATCCAGGATCTTTCTGCGTGGAATCTCCATGTTCTCCCCGTGCAACGTGGGTTCTCACTGGGTTTTAACCCTATGAGCCCTATTTTCAGGGTAATTTCACTTCTAATTTCAATATTTCTAAGCTCCTATCTTGGACTAGTTACAATGCAATAGCGATATTGACGTATCTTATTTGTTTCAGAACAATCCATCTATCCAGATCGTCCATCCAACCATCCATTATCTCTACACCGCTTAATCCTCACTAGGGTCATGGGGGGCTGGAGTCTATCCCAGCTGACTCAGGGTGAAGGCAGGTTCACCTGGACAGGTAACCAGTCTATCACAGGGCTACACTTAGAGACAGACAACCAAGCACACTCACATTCACACCTACGGACAATTTACAATCACCAATTAACCTCAGCATGTTTCTGGACTGTGGGAGGAAGCCGGAGAACCCGGAGAGAACCCACGCTGCACGGGGAGAACATGGAGACTCCACGCAGAAAGATCCCGGGTGTCCTCACCAGGATGCAAATCTTCTAGCTGCGAGACAACGATGCTAACCACTGCTCCATCTTGCAGCCCAGCCTTTACATCAAGGCAAAAAAACCATCATGAAATTGTTGTTTTTCACGTGTATTTCACCATAAAATAATGGCAGCAGATACATATTTTTTTATAATTGTGTGGGGGAGATCCTCAGAAATCTGGTGATATCAGAGTGATGATGGTGGAATACTATAAGACTAAGTCATCAGGAAAAACATGTGGTCAGTGCCAAATGGGGGAGAAAAAAAGAACATTTCAGTGAAAAGCAAATCCATGACTTTCTGTTTATTTTCCCTACTAGGTGGGATGTAATATCAGCTCTAGGTTGAGAAACAAACTCGTATCATCAGAAAGGCTAAGTTCCGCGGTGGGTCCTGATTTGCGGTACGTTATGAAACCAAAGACTTCATGACTTGTTCAGCCGAGTAGCAGGAATGTGGAAATGGGTGAGGAAACTAGACGAGATATTACTTTGCAGAAGTTAGATCTCTTTTCATAACATTATCACTGTGGTATGTACAAAAGCATAATTAGAAAGTTCTGCTCTTTCTCTTGCGATGCGGCGTTAACTCGTCACTGCACAGATATTGATGCGTCGAGGTGTTTGCATATTGATGAGCTCATGCATGAAGGAATGGGTGTGGAGATGAACGCAGAGCTGCATCCAGGTTGTGATTAAATTTGATTTTTTTTTCTTTCTTTCCAATGCTATGTTGCACAGACAGCATTTTTCTAAATACACATTTGTGCAGTTTCATTCAATTGCTGCGATAAATACTTTGATTTGAGGGACTTGGATGTATCTGCTGGGCTCGAAGGGTTAAACGATGACATCAATATGAATTGCAACTCAAATCGAATTGAACTGTGTGTTTGGAAAAAGTTGCAGGGGTTTAAAAACAAATCAGTTGGCGGTTTGGAGAAATAACGGCACGCAGAGCCAAAGCGTTACATAAGCATACCGACGGCTAATAATATTGAGAACAAGCTCAGTATGAACAATGCAACTTAACGCTTCGATCCTAAACCCTGCGCTCGGTGTTTACAGTCTCACAGATTGTGTCGAACAGCCTCACATCACGATGCAATTACCAATCATCGGTGGTACAGCTGGAAAATCTGCCAGGTGGTTAATCTGCTACCTGACCCCCGTCATGACAGCAGACGTGATCGGTGACGTCACATCCTCGCTGACCTCGTGACCTTTCACACACTGTCTTGACACACTAATCTGCTGAGCTATGCAGCCAAACACCACGCTGCCTGCAAGTGAGCTAAACTCTG